AGAGACAGCTCAGTGACAAAGAACACCCACTGCTCTTTCAGAGGACCTGGGTTTGATGTCCAAAACGACTGCTTGGACTCCAGAGAATCCAGCAGCTTCTACCAGGTTCCACAGGCCCCCCCCCCCCACATGTGCACGTATACACACACACACACACACACACACACACACACTCGTGTACATCACGCACACACACACACACACTCATGCACATCGTGCACACACACATTCACTAAATCTGGCTGCTAACTCAAGGGCTGTATTTCTCCCTCCACTTCATCCCCCACAACACATTTCACTCAGCTGGGTAACTTTGCTAATTCTCTTGGGGATCTTGTTGGCGCTTAATCAGCAAAGCAGTCGTCTCTCAGTGTGTGTCTGTGTGTACATACATGCATGTGTTTGTTTGAGACAGGGTCTTGCTGTGTGTGTGTGTTTAAGTATACATGCATTAGTTTGTTTGAGATAGGGCTTGCTATGTAGCTTAGCTTTATCTTGAATTTTCTTACCTCATATTTCAACTTCTAAAAGGCAGGGATTGGAACAATTATGTTTGACCCTATTACCTTTCTTCTTTCACTCCTTCCTTCCTTCCTTCCTTCCTTCCTTCCTTCCTTCCTTCCTTCCTTTTTTTGGTGACAAACTGGGCAATGTGGCTATCATTGTACTTGGCTCTGAAAACATTTTTGACTCTTTGTTTGTTTTGAGACAGTGTCTCATGTACACCATTCTGATCTTGAACTCATTATATAAACAAGAATGACATTGAATTTATAATCCTCCTGCCTTCACCTCACCAGTCCTGGGGTTACAGGTGTGTGCCACATTTTAAGGATAAGCCTGAACTCTTAAGCACCTCAACACAATCCTCAACACAAATCTTTGGGTTTTAGTACACAGAGAAAATACCTTTGAAGGAGAAATCTTCACAATAGCCCTCAGATGCATTCATAATTATAAATTTCAGGAGACGGCACCCTACTTTACAAGTTATCTCCCCTCACCACCACAAGTTATTATTAATGCTCTGAAAGCTTCATATGTTGCTCTGCTAAAATTTTTCAAAAGAATTTCTAAAACTTTCAAGCAATGACAACATTGTAAAGAGTTCCCTACCCTCGATGCCACTACTTTGAATACAAGATTATGTTTTTTTTTACAAGAATGAATAGACACTTTATGATAATATCTTAAAATTAGTGTGTGTGTGTGTGTTGGGGATAGTGATAAAGACAGTACTAACTCTGATTCCCAGAGCTACTGTAGCCATGAGGCAGGAGGATCATTGTGAGTTCAGGGCCAGCCTGGTCTACATAGTGTGGTCCAGGACAACCAGAGCTATGAGATCCTGTCTCAAAATAAACAACAAATGAATGTTATTTTGGATCCTCTTAAGTTAACTAAAGTTGATTGGTGTGGGTAAATACAGGACTGGCTCAGAAGAGAATGCAGAGTATCCCAATTAGGAAAGAAATCCTTTGGGATTCAGACAACATGTAACTAACCAGCTGACAGCTGCCTACAGGACAGTTTCCCTGTCTGCTGAGGGAGTAGAATATGTCTGTATGATGTGGAAAACAGGTGGACTGCACGCTGCTGGCTTCAAATAAAAACTACTTTTCCTCAAAGTAGGATTGTTAGCCATTCTTCAACATCAGGTTCACTTTCCTTTCCAGACTCTGATGACTTCATTTAACTGTTATCCAGAAGTAAAGTCTCATAACTTGATCTGCCTACCCATCCCTTTAAGCCACAAAAGAGACCTTTGTAGATGTAAGAAGGCCTCTGTCTTCAGAAAAATCAAGGCACTGTTCACAAAGGTCTTGTAAAGAGTAAGAAACGTCCATTGTTCTTTCTCAAAACAGCCTAAATGCTACATAGACAGCTTGCTACAAACTGAAACAGTCTTAGAAAAAGTACACTCAGACTAGAATGTATGGCAGTTAAAGAAGCCTGGCTTAACAATGTTTCTAATTGCTGTATTTTGGAAACTGGTAATCGCTATTTAAACTTTTTTATTCGGCTTTTGGATATGCCATGTTTATGTATCAGGTGAAGCCAGTGACATTTTTTCTGAGTTTTCCTTCTCTGCTCTCCACGGCTAAGATACTTAACAGATTTGAGCTGCAGTTTCCTTCTCAGTAAAATTAAGATAAAAGTAGATGGTTTCTAAACTTTATTTATTTCCTTCCTTATTTATTTTCTTGAGTCAGGGTGTCCACGTGTAACTGTCCCGAAACTCACTATGTAGACTAGGTTGACCTCAAACTCACAGAGATCCCCGCGACTCAGCCTTCTGAGTGCTGGGACTAAAGGTTCTTTGGCTTCTGAATTTTAAAATGATATAACTAGTTGGTAAAGGTGTTTACTACCAAGACTGAGAACCTGAGTTCAATCCCTGGAACCCACATGGTGGAAGCAGAGAAGTGACTACAGAAAATGATCTTCCGGCCTCACTCATACACGGTGGCAGACAACCCATACATGCACACACATGCTCCCTCTGTGCACAGTAACCAGGAAACACTTGTGTGCTGCCCAGGAGAATGTCTCGGATGCTCTGTCCTGTCTCTTCCACTCACTGCCTCAGTTGTGGTCTTGTTGGCTGATGCCACACACAGTGTCCTTCAGGTGTCTCCACAGGGAGGAGCTGCCTTGCCCAAGGCAAGGTCCTCTCCAAGAATGCAGCCCTCATCTAATTACACAGTAGGGGTAGGACACAGAGGCTCAGCTACCTCCCTTCAAATGGGAAAAACTCTGAAAGGCTAACCTCCAGAGAGATCTAAGGTACAAGTGCATTATTGTAGAAGTCTTTCCAGTACTCAGACCTGTTTTCCTCACTCCTGAGAAGAGCTGTTCCCAGAGCCTCTGCGTGGGCTACTTTTGTCAGCTTGACAGAAGATACAGTCTTCCAAGAGGAGGGACTCAGAAAATGCCTCTGTAGAAGGGGCTGTAGGCAAACCTGTAGGGCGTTTATTTAACTAATGATTGATGGGTGAGGGCCCAGCCCTTTGTGGATGGTGCAATCCCTGGGAAGATGTTCCTGGGTTCTATAAGAAAGCAGATTGTAGGCAGAGGCTGCTTGTTCATTTCCTGGCTGCCCGAACCCAAAATAATCACACAGAAACTCTATTAATTAAAACACTGCTTGGCATTTTATTAACTAAGTCTTACATCTTAAATTAACCCATTTCTATTATTTTAGCCTATTTATATAGGCTCACGGTTTATGGTAAGGTTCTGGGGGTCTGTCTCCTTCTGTGACTACATGGTGTCTCCATGGCATCTCCCTGACTCCACCCACTTTCCTCCTCTATCTGCTTGGAATTCCCGCCTTACTCTATTCTGCCCTACCATGGGCCAAAGCACCTTCATCCATTAACCAATAAAAGCAAAACATACAGAAGAACTTCCCACACCAACTGAGGGCTGGAAAGATGACTGCTCTTCCAGAGGTTCTGAGTTCAATTCTCAGCAACTACGTGGTGGCTCGCAACCATCTATAATGAGATCTTGTGCCCTCTTCCGGCATGCAGGCACAGCATACATGTAGGCAGAACACTGTGTACATAATAAGTAAACAAATCTTTAAAAAGAAAGCAGACTGAACAAGCTATGAGGAGCAAGCCAGTAAGCAGGTCCTCTTCGTGGCCTCTGCATCAGCTCCTGCCTCCAGGTTCCTGCCCTGTTTGAGTTCCTGTCTTGATTTCTTTTCATGAACTGTTTTACAGAATTAAACACTTTCCTCTGCAAGTTGTTTATGGTCATGGTGTTTCATCACTACCCCTAACTAGGACCATCACCAAGCAATGCCACCTGCATCATTCTCCATCTTAGACTGAACTTCTCAGGGACTCCAGCTGGTAACAACATGCCTTTCTCGGACACATTGAATATTGCGTATCTGATGTTTATCCCTGAGACAAAGCAAAGCTGGTGATGACTATGGAGCTGAATATATATTTTTGGCCTTAGGAGGAGTGTGAAGATGCCAAAAGTCATACTTTTTCTGTTGTAAACACATGAATCCTAAGAAGTTTGGGTTCTTATTACATACTTTTTAAGTCTTTAAATTTTAATTTGATTTGATTTGATTGCTAAGGTAGAATGTTCTAGGGGTTGTGTAGATGGAGCAGGTAAAAGCACTGGCTACCCTTCCAGAGGACCTGGACTCATTTCCCCGCACCCACGTCGTGGCTCCTAACCATCCGTAATTCTAGCTCTAGGTGATCCAGTGTGTCTTCTGGCCTCTGCTGGTACCTGACACTTAATGGAACTCAGATTTACATGCAGGCAAAACACCCAGACGTAGAATAAAAATAAATCTTCAGATAGAACGTTTTAAAATTAAATGATAGCATTAAGAATGTGTTTTGATACTGGGTGATAATGGCACACACCTTTCATCCCAGCACTTGAGAGGCAGAGGCAGGTGGACCTCTGTGAGTTGAGGCCGGCCTGGTTTACAGAGCTAGTTCCAGGACAGCCAGGACTGTTAAACAAAGAAAAAAAAGAATACATTTGATATGAAATTTATGAGGTGGTAGAAGTGTGGCAGTCCATAACTTTAAAATTCATGTTAATTGGGGGTTCTATTAAAGTAAAAGTATAAGATTTAATCAAACTTGGTAATCTACTTAACAGAAAATTTATGCCAGAAGAAGACCCAGTCCTCTGTTGTCATGGTTTATGTGGGTGACCAGATGGTTATGTTTGATCTAATGGGCTAGTGATGTGATGTTGTGGTTGTGTAACTACAGTGGGTCAGCTGTTGCTGGCTGGTTAGTATCACTGCTCTGCTTACCTTCGTGACAGCCACTCACCAACTTCTGAAACACTTTGTTCTCCTCATGGCCAGTGCTGGTTCATCTAAGGGCTTTTTTCCTACACTTATACTATTTATTGAGAGTCTAGTCTATAGTGATTCTATCCATTAATGGTCGCACTGCCCTTTTTTCCGTTTAATTTAAAAGTCTCTGCTTTTGCATTCCTGTCCTCAGAAGAATTACCTTGTACATGCCCCCTGTGTACCTCAGACCGAGGGAGCTGTGTTAGTACCACAGAAGGGATCCAACTTGCCAAAGAACTGGGAGCCACCTACCTGGAGCTGCACAGCCTTGATGACTTCTACATCGGAAAGTATTTCGGAGGAGTGGTAAGTGGGGAGCCTGTGAGCGCCTGTGCAGGCTGCTACTGAGCTTCGTCCCAGGGCATCAGTGCGTGGTTTCATTTCATAAGAATCATTTGCTTTAGCCTGGAGAAACACAATAAGAGTTAAGTGGCATCGGCTTAATCAGTATAAAGTTATAAAATTCTCTATCCAAATGAATTAACATTTTTAATCATCTGTTAAGATTTTTAGAATCTTTCAAAATGGGTCCTAGTGTATGTCAAAATCACATGTTCTTATGCAAATCTACACAAGTGTATAGTAATCTTGTTAGTGTGTATGTGTGTGTGTGTCCATGCACATACATGCACACCTATGCCTGCATGTGGGCATGGGTACATATGTTCATACTCACTGGACTCTCACTGACCTAGCACATGCCAAGTAAGCTAGGCTGGCTGGTTAGTGTCACTTAGAGGTCCCCGTGCCGGCCAGTGAAGCGCGCTTCACCATGTGCAGCATTGTTAGGGAGTGGGGGACACACGTACCGTGTGTAGAAGCCAGTGGTCATCCAGAGGTCTTCAGGTGCCATCCACTTCTCTTTGTGAGCCAAGGTCTCAGTGGGCTGCAACTCCCCAGTGGCAAAGTTGGCTAGCCCATGAGCCCCAGACAAAACAAGTCGATCCTTCTAAATATGTATTTTTAATATTAAAAATTGTTTGTGCATGTTTGTTAGTGTTGGCACTGACATCGAAACCATTTGCAAATGTGATTTGGAATACAAATCGTCATGTCAGATACAATTGTGTTGGACTTAATTCTGCTTTGATTCATGTTTCAGTTGGAGTATTTTATGATTCAAGCCTTAAATCAGAAGACAAGTGATAAAATGAGGAAAAGGAAAATGACCAACTCCTTTCACGGTATTAGACCACCTCAACTTGAACAGCCAGGTGTGCAGACCTTAAGACATTCCTCACAGATCTTAGAGAAACCGCTTTCAACTGAGCATGCTCAGGACTGTTTGGCATTCCCAGTGAACCTGGGACAAGGCCAGGACTTTCCTAACTGACACTAGAGCAGGTGGTAGTTACACCACGCTTCTGAGAAAATGCTGACGTAAAGTTTGGTCCTAGAAATTCTTAGCATGTGGTAGAGAGGCACCAAGACCGATGAGGTGGCTACAAAAGGCCACGCCTGTCTTACCTGGATGCTGCATAAAAGTCATCTAAAAGGCAATCTTGGGACACTTCGTGGAATCTTAATATGCACTGAAAGCAAGCTGAGGTTGTAGGTTTATTGTTAATTTTCTCACCTATCTTGATTAATAAGTCAGTGTTCTCACAGTCGTCCAATGCCTGCAACTTACGCGTGTGTCTGTGACTTTGTGTCTAGCGATAAAGCAGGATGACAAAGTTAATTACTTCAGGATGAACGAAAGAATGGATGTGTGCACTGTCATTTGTGCTACAGAGCGTAAATATAAAAACAAAATTACACTCATCAAAACATTTTGCATGGTTTATGATATAATCTTTTGAGCCAATTTGTCTTCGATACTATTTCTAAAAATAATAGATACTTGATATTATAGAATCATGGCCATGGTTTTCTATCACTTTTGTTTTTCTTTGGTTTTTGAGACAGAGTTTTGCTGTGTAGCAGTCCTGGCTGTCCTGGAACTCACTTTGTAGACCATGCTGGTGCCTCTGCTACTTAGGTGCTGGGAATAAGTGTGTGCTACCACTGCCCAGCTAACTCAGTTTATTATGATAATTTATTGTATTTTATGAAGAAATGGAAAAGATGGGTTTGAAAGCCTCAAATACAAAGAAATAATGATGAGATGCACATTGCATAAATAATCAGCATGTATTCCATAAATGTGAGAAATTTAAAGAAAAAAAAAAACCCTTAAAGTAGGCACCGGAGAACTGTTGAATCAATGCAGATGTCAACCAAGGAAGCACAAGTTAGAACTGAGGAATCGCTTCCAGTTTCAGATAAGGTTCAGATAAGGTCTGTTATGTGGAAAATTCTGGGGCCTAAATACGTTCAAGCTTCGAAAAGAATTGTTGTCCCTGATCCAAAGGAGAGAACCAAATGCCCAACACTGTTTGACACTGATAGAAACCTCCCCAGTAACTTCTTTGGGGGATCTGGGTAATATAGTATCGGGTCCCCATCAGTGTATGGGCAGCAGAGACAGCCTGTGTGTTTACAAGACTGTTTTATGTGTCTTTCAGTTTAGATGACCATGGGCCATCTCTAAATAAAACAGGATACAGCCTGGCTGCCTGTGTCTCTGGAGTGGAATGCTTCTAAGGATTAGCACAGGGCTCTGGGAGCATATAGCTTTCTGATTTAGCATTTGGGGTCCTGTGAGGTAGGGTGGCCTGCGGTGCGCTGCAGGGAACCTGGTCCTCAAAGCTGCTTAGGGCCCCAGACCCGGCTCCCAGGCTTTGTTCATCTACAGGATTCCTGTTGCGGAAGGAGATGACTCACGTGCTGGGACCATGGGGGGGCCATGCATTGGCAGTCTTTCTCTCACATCCCTCTGCTCAGGTCTGCCAGCAAGTTCAGGTTTTCTGGGGAGGACATGTCCTGAGGATATATATTCTGGGCTGATGGGAAGCTCTCTCTTCAGCAGGATCAAACTAGTCATGGGAAATCTAAGGGCATGTTCTCTGTAGGAGCCCATGGATTGTAGTCATTACCATGGCTGAGGTATGTTGCTGATTGGTGAAGTAGATTATTTTACTAGAAGGAAAAAAAAAGACTGGGATCAAAGTAAAATTGTTAGGATGGTGTCAGACAATAGAGTAGTTAGAGTTATTGCAATTTATGAAGGCATGGAGATTTGCTGGCACTGAGTGGTCCCCTTGGCCTCCACTCCCCATCAGATCCTGAAGATTTGAGAGTAGGCTCTTCAGAACTTAGTTGAATTCTTTTTTAATCAGAAGAATGCTTACTCCCAGCCCCCATACTAAAGGCCTGTACTTGGGAAAGTGTTTTGAGCCACACAAATAATGAGAAATGTTATTTTATTGCTCAAGTCATTAGGTTTTCATCTTCAGTACAAAATGAAATATCATATTTATGTGTGTTCTGTAAAATGTGCTTCGGTAATCCCTGATGGGCTAGTTCATGTGCTCTTAGGTTAAACTGTACAAAATCAGTGATTTGTAGATTTTAGTAAAACGGGCAAGTATTGGCTCTTTGCAGGATTCCATCTCTGGGCCTGTAGACATAGAAATCGGTTATTATCTTGATTTTCCCTCGGAAACAGAAAAGATGCCTGTCTTGAAAGCTGAAGCATCGCACTACCACTCCGACCTGAACAACTTGCTGTCCTGCTGCCAGTGTGTGGACGTGGTGTTTTATCACCCGGAAGTGCCGGGTGCCGTGCAGGCCCACAAGATTGTTCTCTGCGCTGTGAGCCATGTGTTCATGCTGCTGTTCAATGTGAAGAGTCCTACTGACATTCAGGATTCCAGTATCGTCCGAATGACCCAGGACCTCTTTGCCATCAACAGAGATGCTGTGTTTCCAGGTGCTAGCCAGGAATCTTGCAGCAACCCGCCGCTGCGAGTCATTGTGAAGGATGCGCTCTTCTGCTCGTGCTTGTCCTATATTCTGCGCTTCATTTATTCAGGTACCTTGGCAGACTCTTCTGGGCCCTTCTACTCTCTCAAGATCCCTAGAAGTCTGTGAGAGTCTTGGTTAATTTTATATTTATCTTATCCCCTGACATCTGAGGTGATACTTATACATGAAATGTAGCATTTACTTTATATGTGGAAATTAGTTCAAGTTTTTTGTCTTTTTGACAAATTTATTTGCCTTAATGGCAAAATCACATAGCATACAATTTGCTATTTTAGCCATTTTTAAGTGTACAATCTAATGATACTAGATGCATTTATAGAATACAATTATTTCCGTTATCTCTGCATTTCTTTACTTTGAAAATTGAACGTATGTCCCCATCAAATAGCAGCATGCCCCAGGCAGCCACTGCACTCTCCGCTGCCGCTGTGGTTTTGACTACTCTGTGTGCCTCAGATGAGTGCAGTCAGCGTAGTTGAGATCTATGGTTTATTTGATTTACCATAATATCTTCAGGGTCATGCAGGTTGTCACTTGCATCATTTGTTAATGCTTTGGAAAGAGTACAGCAGTTGTTAGAAAGTTAAAAACGGAATTCACGCATCACATAGCACTTCCCTTCTGGGTATCCACCGGAAGTGACTGAAAGCAGGCGTCGAGGAAGAGCTGGACAGCCGTGCTCATGGAAGCGTTATACACGCAAATGTGACCCACGTGTCATCAGGGGGTTAATGAACAAACTAAAAATGGTATATGTATGCAGTTGAAAATTATTCAACCCAAAGAAACAAGATGGTTAAAATTTAACTATGTTTTTTAAAACTCACTGTAGTTGAGTTTTGCTGGAAAAGTGAGAATAATGTGGTCGCGCTTGGGGAATAGTGTTTTGGGAAATTCACAAGTGCGTCCCGTAGGGCCTACTGCCCTCAGCGTGGGAGATTGACTGCGTTTCAGCGCCTTGGAGAGCAGGTTCAAGTAGATGGAGCCACCGAGTTCATGATTTCTTCTAGGTCTACAAATTTCAGTGTTTAAACTTGGATCTCACAGCTCAAAATTTGATACTAAGTCTAAAACAGTTAAGATGTTTGCATGTTAAGAAAATGGTTGTAATGCCTTGTCTAAGGAACAGTGACGGAGGTGTTTGACTTTCCAGTGAGTTCACTGTTGAAATTCTATGAATTACTCAGCAGCCTTCCCGTAATATCCATTTACTCCTGGAAGGCACATGAGCACTCTGAGTTATTTATGCCTTCTTTAATATGGTAGCTATAAAATAGGTCCAATACCCAGAGACTGAACCTGCCTGGCATTCTCCTAGGATGCTTTGTATATTGTAAAGTTAGCTCAATAGGGATGGGGGGAAATGCAGGCCAGTGGACAAAAGGCAAAGAGAAGAAAAGGTTCTCTGTGTACCCCCACCCCTTTCCCTGCCAGCTACCCAGGACAGCTTTCTGAATTCCCTCAGATCCTACTGGAAAGAGTTTCATTCGCCTGTATATTTGCTCTGGTAAACATGCAGTCCTCATGTGCTGTCTTCTGGGGACAGGGGTCCTTTCCTGGGACTTGGATCACAGAGGAGAAGATGGGACCAGCAGGACTTGGGGGAATCGTTGCTGCGGTTTCTGGAAGCTATGATACTATTCTCTGTGTGCTCAGGCTGGCCCTTTGAAGCCTCACGTGTGGTTGGGGTGGAGGGAGCTTGAATTATAGTGGGAAAAACAGGAATTCAGGGAGGAAGCTCCATCAGTCTGGCAAGCAAAATCAGGAGGCCGGCATTGTGCCCTTTCCTCACCTAGACAGGTCAGAGGTCACCTGAGTGTCCAGATTCTGATGGTGTGAGTGGGGTGGAGAGCAACGTGAGCTTTGTTTCCAGCAGATAGCTTGGGCCACGGCTGGTGGAATGGGGCTTAGATTTCAGTTGAGAGCCTGGGCTGGGAAGGCCATTGTCACATTAGTGCACAGAGTAAAGCTGAGTTACAGTGCAATCCCGAGCTGTCTGATTCCGAGCTGTCTGGAGCTCGGTTCCTGGTGTCCCTTCACACATCTGCCCCAAGAGAGACAGAGGATCTCAGCAGAGGAGTAGAAGTTTAGGGAGCAAGGAAATGGGGTGTCAGGAAAGTGAGCTGCTCGGCCAGCTCCGAGCTCCCACACTGATGCTCTGGTCTCCTGTGTCTCAGGCAGGCAGGAGACAGGGTGGTTTGACCTTGGTCTGAGCTAGAGGAGCCCGATGCAGGTGGAGACGGAAGAATAGCTGGATATGCAAGTTCTTATTAATCATTCTTTAATTATGTACACATGATAAATCTGAATTTAGCAAAAGAAAGCTTAAGTTCTGTTTTAGACGATGCTAGAGACATCATTGCACAGTTCTTTAAAATGTATTTTTGCTACAAGAAAAACAAACACAGATGCCATTGCCCAGAAAAAATATCAGAGTATCACTCTTGTTTGTTTTCTCTGTTAGGTTCTCATTTATTAATAGATTAGTGCTTTAAAAAATATTATTTTTTGGCTGTGCGGTGGTGGCACACACCTTTAATCCCAGCACTTGGGAGGCAGAGGAAGGTGGATTTCTGTGAGTTTGAGGTCAGTCTGGTCTACAAGAGCTGGTTCCAGGATAGGCACCAAAGCTTCAGAGAAACCTTTTTTCAAAAACCAATAATATACACTGTCTATCTATCTATCTATCTATCTATCTATCTATCTATCTATCTATCTATCTATCTATCTATCTATAAATAATATATTTATTATTTTTTTAACAAAATGAAACAAAAAATCTTAAATCTATATTTATCATAGAATTTTCAATAACACCTGGAAGATTTGGGACGTTTTCAAACCTCTGCACGGAGCACAGGTTTCCAGACCCACTGCATAGTGGTTTCTTCACAGTCCACAGCATTTGTCAGGAACATTGGAGGACAGCCGTGGTTTGTCTGTGGAAATGGGGCTGCTAAGCAAGGGCAGAACTCCATGGCACAGCTTGCATAAACAGGGGCTAAAAAGCTACAATAAACCTGTCTTCTGCCCTTTAAAAAATAGTCAACCAGACCACAAAGGTTCTTTCTAAATAATACCAGATTGCCTTTTGCTTCTGGGAATTGGTCTATGTAGATGTTTTGGCTTGGTGTTTAGAAGTCACTGTTTCATAGTCCAGTTGGCATTTTATACTCACATGTGAGCTTTCAGTCTGTTTTCCTCTTAAAAAGTTTTGAATAACTTTTTAGATAGAGTCCAGGTGTATGTTAAAGACATGCTAGCGTTCAGTAAGTCATGCCTGAGGACCAGAGCTGGCGGCGGAGAGCTGTAGCGTCTGTGTTCAGGGAGTTATCCTGAAGTAGCATATGCTTGTAACATTCTTACAATACTTGATAGTTTGACTTGAAAATTCCTGAGTCACATGATCTCGGATGGTTAGAAATTGAAATATTTGTAAGAGACTAGAGAATGCAGCTTTGAGGTGAACCTGAGGTGACCCAGAATTCCGAATCACTTACCTAAGTAAAGAGCAGGTGGGCAGGTGGGCAGGTGGGCAGGCCTTCAGGTTCGCTCTACCTGGGGTTCTCTTCAATACTCGCAATTCTTCCGCACATGCTCTTTCCTGTGCAACAGAAAACAGCGTAGGATTCCTGAAGGCGCTGTGCTCTTCAACAGACTAAGTAAACTGCTGAGGGACTTGAGAAATTATCCTTGGGAAACCCCAGTGAACACTGCAAGATGAGGAGCTGCTACAGGTCCAGCCTCGTGACACCGTGCCTGTTGTTGACAATGCTGTATCCCCAAAACATTGTTCATGGGTGGATCTCATCTTAAACATCATCACCGCAGAAAAGTAGGCCTAGCCTCAGGATGGCTGCTTCATTG